ATAATTCTGCATGTGGGGGGTAATCATAGAGAGACTGTCAGCTTCCTCATCATTAATTCTCCCCAGGCTCCAGTGGTGTTAGGTGCTACCTGGCTTCAAAAACACAATCCCCACATTGACTGGAAAAAAGGGGAGATTTTGGGTTGGGCTGAGGAGTGTTTATCATCTTGTTTATTGGACGCTGTTATCATGAAGGACTCTGCTAAGAACTCTGTAGACAACTACCCTGACCTCTCTAAGATCCCCTCCGAATACAACGATCTTAAAGAGGTATTTAATAAGGCTAAGGCTACATCTTTACCACCTCATCGGCCTTATGATTGTGCGATCGACCTTCTCCCTGGTTCCACACCCCCTAGGGGAGCTCTTTATTCTCTTTCTATCCCCGAGCAACAATCTATGAGGGATTACATCCATGAATCCCTCCAAGCAGGCATTATTCGTCCTTTCGTCTCTCCGGCCGGGGCAGGTTTCTTTTTTGTAGGTAAAAAGGACGGTTCTCTCCGTCCTTGTATCGATTACCGCGGTCTTAATCAGATCACCATAAAGAATAAATATCCCCTACCTCTCATGAACTCGGCTTTTGACCTCCTACAAGGAGCTAAGGTCTTCACCAAACTAGATCTCCGCAATGCCTATCATCTAGTTCGTATTCGTGAAGGAGATGAATGGAAGACCGCCTTCAATACCCCCACAGGTCACTATGAGTACCTAGTCATGCCTTTTGGGTTAACCAATGCTCCCGCAATTTTTCAAAATCTGGTCAATGATGTTTTGAGGGATATGGTTAACCAGTTTGTTTTCGTTTATTTAGATGATATACTTATTTTTTCTAAAGATCTGTCTACCCATCGCAAACACGTCCGCGCAGTACTCACTCGTCTTCTTCAAAACGGCTTATATGTTAAAGCTGAAAAATGTGAGTTTCATGTTTCCACCACTTCGTTCCTCGGTTTCGTTATTTCCCCAGACAAGATGGAGATGGACTGCAATAAAATTGCGGCAGTTTTGGATTGGCCGACCCCAAAAGATCGTAAACAACTCCAGCGGTTTTTGGGGTTTGCAAATTTTTACCGACGATTTATTAAAGGGTTCAGTCTCATTTCTAGACCTCTTCATGCATTAACATCCACTAAATCACGTTTCATGTGGTCCTCAGAGGCTGAAGAAGCCTTTCTTAAATTAAAGACCCTCTTTTCATCGGCTCCCATTCTACAGGCCCCTAACCCAGAAGAACCTTTCATTGTGGAGGTGGACGCCTCCAGCACTGGGGTGGGGGCCATTCTCAGCCAGCGTAGCGAGGGGGGTCGACTTCATCCTTGTGCTTTTTTTTCTAGGAGCTTGTCAGCACCGGAACGCAACTACGATGTGGGGGATCGAGAGTTGCTGGCTGTCAAGCTCGCATTGGAGGAGTGGCGTCATTGGCTGGAGGGCTCCAGATTCCCATTCCAAGTGTGGACTGATCATAAGAATCTGGAGTATTTCAGGTCGGCCCGCCGTTTAAACCCTCGTCAGGCCAGGTGGGCACTTTTTTTCTCTCGATTCAATTTTACCTTGTCTTATCGTCCTGGGGAGAAAAACGTGAAACCCGATGCTCTGTCCCGTCTCACCGAAGATGACTCTTCTTCTCCTTTAGAGGAACAGGGGTTCATTCTGCCCGAGTCGACCCGCCTGGCCATGACGCGTCTCGAGGCCGACCTGAGAGCATCCAGTCGGTCTCGTTCTCCTCCTCCCGGTTGTCCTGACAACCGCCTCTTTGTTCCCCCACACATGATTAAAAAGGTGCTCGAATTTTGTCACTCTTCCCACCTTTTCTGTCACCCAGGTCTCACTAAGACTCTTTCTGTGGTTAGGTCACAGTTTTGGTGGGATTCTTTGTTTAAAGACGTTCAGTCTTTCGTCCGATCATGTTCCTTATGTTCACAGATTAAATCCTCCAGGCGTCCTCCTGTTGGACTGCTTCGTCCTCTCCCCATTCCAAAACGTCCTTGGTCCCATATTGGGATGGACTTTATTACTGGTCTCCCTGTCTCTGAGGGTCATTCAGTCATTCTCACTGTTGTCGATCGCTTTTCCAAGATGACCCACCTGGTTCCCCTTCCTAAACTTCCTTCCTCCAAGGAATTGGCCCACATCATGGCCAAGGAGGTATTCAGACTGCATGGACTCCCCCTCGACATAGTTTCTGATAGGGGTCCACAGTTTGTTTCCTTATTTTGGAAGGAATTTTGTGGTCTTCTTGGGATATCCATCAGTCTCTCTTCAGGCTTCCATCCTGAGACTGATGGTCAAACTGAGAGGACCAACCAGGAGGTGGAGAACAAATTGCGCCTCCTGTGTAATACCGACCCTGAAAAGTGGTCCTCTGCTCTACCATGGGTCGAACACTCCCTTAATTCTCTTCCCTCTTCAGCTACCGGTCTCTCTCCTTTCTACGTGGTTTTTGGTTTTCAACCCCCAATCTTTTCCCTCCAAGAACGCGAGGCTGTGGTCCCCTCTGCTCATCTGATGGCTCTCAAATGTCGTAGAGCCTGGAGGAGAGCCAGACGTGCGTTGCTTAAAACTACGGCGGTTTATTGCAAGAAAGCTGACCGCCGTAGGTCTAGTCAGCCCATCTATAAAGTGGGCCAAAACGTCTGGCTCTCCACTAAGAACCTTCCCCTCAAGGCCCAGTCTCGCAAACTTGCTCCCCGTTTTGTTGGTCCTTTTTCTATTTCTAAAATTATTAATCCTGTCGCTGTCCGTCTCTCCCTGCCCAAGTCGTTTCGCGTACATCCCTCCTTTCATGTCTCCTGCATCAAACCGGTCACCTCGTCTAGATTTCACACTCCCGTTCGTTCCCCCCCACCCGCCCGTCTGATTGATGGGTCCCCTGCCTACACGGTCCATCGTCTTCTCCGCTCTAGGCGGAGGGGTCGCGGTCTCCAGTACTTGGTCGACTGGGAGGGTTATGGTCCGGAGGAACGTTCTTGGGTCCCTGCTCGTAACATCCTGGACAAGTCTCTCATCTCAGACTTCCACGCCTGTCATCCGGACCAACCAGGTGGGACGCCAGGAGGCGTCCCTTGAGGTGGGGATATGTCACGATTCACGCCTGTCTGAGTTTATATTTTTGTCACTTTGTTCACTGCTTGGTGTCTGTGGATTTTCTTCTCTTCTATTCTTCTTTTTAATATTTGTTTCTCTTTGGTTTTGAGACTTTTATTTCTGCAGCACTCTGTCTGTTTCTCTCTGCTGGCTGCATGATAGTTTAAATTTGTCTTTCCTTCACTTCACTCTGCACTGATTAGTTTTCATTAGCTGCACCTGTCGCTGCACCCTTTATAAGCCTGGTCTGTTCACAGGGTGAGCGCCAGATAGTCGAAAACAGCTTGCCTGCCAATAGATATCCCGCGCTACTATCCTTTATAGTCTCCTGCCCTTTCATAGTTTCCCTCCTTCCTTGTTTTGCCTGCCCTGCTCCTGTCCTTCCTCCCGGTCCTCGTATCCTCGCCTCTGTTCGCTGACTTCCTGGTTTTCGACTCCGGATCGTCTGACTTCGCCTCTCGCCTGCTCCTTTGGATATATTCTTCACCTGCTGGTTCTTGACCCACGCCTGCTCCTGACCTGCCTATCGCCCGCTCCTGCATGGTACTGTCGCATCTCAGCTCTCTGGTTTTGACCCTCGCCTGCACGACTACGCCTCCCGCCTCACGGATCGGGTACCGGTTCGGCGCCGCTGCGGATCAGCGCTTTTCATCCATCCATCCATCCTTGGGTTCAACGCTGCAGCCGGCTGACTCCCTTCACCGGGATCATTCCTCCTGCAGTGGGCACACCAGCTTGAAGCGACTCATTACTCCCACGCCCCCTTCAACCAGAGTAACGGTTAGTGGTCTCACCTCTTTGACATTTGCACCTGCTTCTGTCTCCCGCCTGGCCACTAACCGTACTCTACTTGTTTACAGACTCGTTCCAGCCCGAGCTCATAGATCGACACCAGAACCAGTTCTTTCTTTGAGAAGCCAGGGTCTCTCTAATAAACTTTTTATAATTCAGTTTCAAGTGTTTGTGGTGATTTTGGTCCAGTATTTGAAGGGGTTCGTTACAATAAAAGAGCACAGCATGTCATGATTTCAGCTCCCTGCCTCCGCTACTCTGCCACCTGCAAGTGCTCTTGGCCACGCCCACTCTGCTCTGCATGGTGAACAGCTGATCAGCTGCAGCAGGAAGTTTATCCTGCAGCTGTCGGCTGCACACAGGTGCAGCAGGTGCTAAATAATTTAAAATAATTGATTTTAAATAAAAACTCCATGCCATTTGTGCGGCTCATCCATCAATCAGCCAATTGTGTGTCATGTCCAATCTTATTTTGAAAAACCGCGATAGAGCGAGTCCGCTATGAATGAACCGCGAAGTAGCGAGGGACTACAGTATATTAGGATTTGTCCAGTGGTTCCCATTCCTGGTCCCTGAGGAACACCTTGATCTTTGGCTTTAAGCATCAGTTGGACTCCTGGCAAGAACCAATGCAGACATGTTCCTGTTTTTAGTTTTCTACATTCACCTTGTAATCTAGCTGTTTTTTGCTACTTTTTTTGCCATCTTATTTTAATTTGTAAAAAAAAACCCATCTGTATGGCTCTTTTATTATTGTCTATTGTTCTTGTTGTTGTTAATGTCCATTGTTGTCATCATTCTTTGTTGAAATCAGGTCTCTCTTGTAAATGAGTCCTCGAGGCTCAATGGGATTAACCTGTCTAAATAAAGGTTGAATGAATGAAAAAACACCACCCTGCATGTTTTAGTTGTTCCTCTGCTCCAACACGCCTGATTCGGTGGTTTAATTACTTCCTTACATTCTGCAGAAGCCTGTTAATCACCCTTTCATTCAGACCAGGTGTGTTGGAGCAGAGGAACAACTAAAACATGCAGGGTGGTGTTCCTCAGGGACCAGGGTTGGGAACCACTGGATTAGACATTGAGGAAAACACCTGAAAACCCAGTTTCAGCCACAGTTCTCACATGCTGGGCGTGAAGATGATGTCTTTGGCTCTGTGCTGTAAAGCAGCCAGCTTGGAGATCTGGTGGAACTGCTGATCGCTCACTTTTCCATGTGAAAGAACGTTCAGCAGTCCTTTACGGTAGTCGGGAAGGATCTAAAAAAAATTCACAAACACACCGTTATAAACCTGTGAAAGCAGATAGCTACGTGTAGGCGAGTGGAGCCTCCCGTGTCGTACCTGGTTGTACTGCATGGCGACACAGAGCTCGTTTTCAAATTTTAACGGCTGAGTCCAGACGACCCGTCGGAACCAGAGGCTGTAGTTGGCGTCAACTAACTCGGCCTCCGTCGCTACGTCCAGGATGTACTCGTTCTTGTTCAGAGGTCGCACACTCTGACCTGAAAACACCCAGTTTGTGACAGCACGTTCATCAATATCTAAATATTTATTCATTTGATTCCAGCCTAAAACTAGTTTCAATCGTTGACACAAAACCTCTGAAACGTCACATAAGTACTTGGTTAATCACAAGAACTGCAATGGTTCTCACGAGCAGGAGGGTTAACCTGATAGTGAGGAGCTGCTGCTGCTGTGGCGTTTGTGAATAACGTAAAATATGGACTATTGAAGCATTGGCTCTAAATGGTTAGATGACATTCAAGAATCATGAACAGATCGTTCACTTGTTCTCTGTTTGATCCACCTGAGGATAGAGAACACAACTCAGAGCATGTGTAAAGCAACAGTTCAGATCTTTTGAAGTGGGGTTAAGTGAAAAGGTTTTAAATAGTTTATCTGTTTTAAATCGCTCTCTGATAAACTTAGATTTGCAGAAACAGTTTATTTCTAAATGTATTGATGAGCCAAATGACAAGGGGGGGCATGACGCAGCTATCGGCTAACCGTTTATGCAAAAGCTATTTTTTAAACCCTTATATTGCAATCAGTGTTGCAGTACATGGTTATTTACATTTATTTTTCTCAAAATTTGAGGCCGTTGTAAATGTTAATAGCAGCAGCAGCATGCTGTAGCACTTCTGGTGAAACCTGGGGAACTTCTTGCAGGAATGATTTTTGCCGGGATAACTGCAATGCAATACTGATGGCAGTGTAAAGGTTTATAAAAATAAACACAGCTTCACTGCAAAAGATCCCAATTAGCCTTTTATTTTGATATAACAGATTTCTTCTGGCCTTTCTCTGTCCATCCAGGCCAGTAAAAATCTTCTAGTAAATATGAGCCAAGCCTCATAAAATGAGCTGTTCAGAGGAACGCTATCAGCCATGTTTTTAACTCTATGTCCTTGTTTAATTGTTTACATGACAAATCTATTTACCATAGTTGTATTGACAGATGTGCCTATTGATAAAAACACCTGGAAACCCAAGTGTCCCGTCCAGAGGACCTGACTTAACTTTGTTAGATTTTTCTACCTGGATTAATGAGCATGCATCAGGATACCGTACTTTTTGCTTTATAAGTCGCACCTTTTTGCATAAATTAGCATGCCCTGCAACTTATACAGCAAAGTGACGTATTTATGTTTTTTCCCATATTTATAACCCAATTTTTGGCTGAGATATGACGATTTCTTTCATTCTGACATGGAAAATATTGAACACTACCATTTTCAGCCACTAGAGGACGCTTGACTAATATGGCAAGCAAAGTGTCTCATCAATAGGTAAAAGTGGCTATTAATGAGTCACTTGGCTTGCCATACAAAGCCACCTTCATCTCGCTCCGGAAGTCCTGGAGCAAATGTCAAATCAGCTGCATTTCGCTGCGCCTCCCAGCAAAATGCAGCTGATTTGACCGTTAAAGTACATTTATTAAGGAAAAGTTCAACTGAGACACACCTTTACTATAATGCTGAGCAAACAAATAATTGTTTTTAGGCGGTTATCTTGTTAAATTTTGAAGAAATGCACAGCGAGTCCTCCCTCTGCGCGCTCCCGCAGCCACAATCTGCTTTTGAAATGCAGCTGATTGGACCATTAAAGTGCATTTCTTAAGCAAAAGTTAGACTGAGACACATCTTTACTATAATTTCGAGCAAACAAATAATTGTTTTTAAGTGTTAATTTTGTTAAATTCTTGTTAAAGTCCTCCCGTGCATGCTCTTGCGGCTGCCATTTGGCAGCCAACTGATTTTGGCACAACACCAGCCCATGTTTCTGGATGGTCAGAGGTGACGCATAATAGATGCGACTTATACGGCGGTGCGACAGGTACAGCGGCAAATACGGTACCTGGAAACCCAGTTTGTCTTCTGATACGAAATATATGAATAATATTTTATGTAAAAAGGGTTAAATCCCCAAGCTTTAATCATCATGGTATTTGTAATTTGATGTGTAAAAGTGTTAAAACATCTACTGTAAAAGTGCATCTTCATGTCAAAAAGTTTAAAACAAATCTTTTCCAAAGAAGGTTGGAGATTGTTAAAATGTACAGAACAAAATATTTTAAATTTAATGCCATTTATTTCAACTCTAATATTATTTGAAAATAGTATAAAATCAGTGTAACAGTAAAAAAAATACATAAAAAAAGCTCTTCTTTTGATTTGGTGGTAGAAACATATTCAGAAGTTGGGACAAGCGTGTTGACAGCTGCGTTGCATCATAGCAACACTGATTCTGAACTGAGCTGCAGAAACGAATATTTCTCAGTTCTTGCTGGATTTCAGCTGTTCAACAGTTCAGGATATCTTTGTTATATTTTTTAATATAAATTTAGCATCTGTTGTAAATATGTAAACAATATGATTTGTCATTGCACATCTCGTGGTGTCTCTGAGCAGCACATCCTGTCCCCAGTTGCTCCCCAGACACTTTTCACAGCTGCCCACTGCTCCACTTGGTGGTGGATGGGTTATGACAATACATAACACATTATTATTATTATTATTATTATTATTATTATTTGACATAATCGCTCTGAAGAAAACAAGACCATTTGTAGCAGGAAAGAAGACAACACACCTTGATCCTTACATACATATTTCACATGAAGTTTTTCTAAATATTTTACAGATAATACACTGTGGTTGATTAATAATTACACAATTGATATTCAACAGACACCTGCTGCATGTTGTCCTTATACTACTTTTTATAATATAAGCATTTTATTAATTTACAGATAACTGTACACAATTTTATTTTACTTTTAAATTAAAAAGTCTAAGATTTGCTTTTTTACATTTATAAACTGCAAGTGCAAAGTTGATCCAGAGGCATTTTTAATTGTTTGTATACATCAGCCAAAATCACTGATTCGTTAGTTAATTTAGTCAATCTCATTGACTAAATGGGTTTTGTTCTTAATTAATATATTGTACAAAATACAAACAAGGTAACAATATAGTTACAAAACAATTGAATTTACATAAAAATGTCCTAAATCAGACAAATAGCTGGATCCGTGTCACTGTCGTGGTGGTCTTCATACACAAACAAAGCATCTGCATGTGTGAGAGAAAGACAAATAAAACAAGACTGACCTCTGTTGGTCACTAGAAATATGGCATATTCTTCCATGGCCTCCATTGTGTGTAAACCCATCTCATAACACAACTCTTCGATCACCTCCAGGGCGACCTGCAGAACACAACGATCTGTCACATCCTCCTCACTCACTCCAGTTAGATGATCAAACTGCCAGCAAAAGCTGAGAACTTACAGAACACGTTTTGATTTTCGCGTGGCGTTCGATGCCTCCGGGGAAGAGAAACAGCTGACGCTTCGAACTGCGCCCCGCCTGAAGGAGGACACTCGTGAGGTGAAAGCTGTACATACAAACCTTAAACTTTCAAGCACGAAGTGGTTCCACACTGGCATTAAAAAAGCTAAATTCATTTACTGTCAACAAAATATACAACAAGTCTCTGAACTCCGGTTTGTGACGTTAAGCCTCAACTGTTTTGGTCAGTAAATACAGCTTTAAGGATGGTTTTAGGTTCACAGTAAAAAGAACTGCTAAACCAGCTGAGCACAACATTTTTCTGCTAAGAACAACTGAGAAGGAAGAAAACTGCATTTGTTTGGGATTATTTTCAAACTAAATTCCCAAGTAACGTCACCATCGACTGATGAGTTTGGACATGCTCGATACTTCCAGGCAAAATTAAATCCAAGCTATTATTAGATCTGTTGACAGAAGGTAAACACATTCAAATTTATTCTCATTAATTAAATTAACACCTGTCACATAACATTACATGATTAATGCCAAATCAAGTTTTATAGCTTCTTGAGACCAAAAAGTACGAAGTAAAATATTTTATGTACATCAAAGTTTATGCTCAATAATCCAGGTAAAAAAAAAAATCTATCAAAGTTAAGACAAGTCCAGTGGACGGTTTCTTTTTTGTTGAAATGTTTCATCTTTCATCCAAAAGACTTCATCAGTCAGAGGAGCCACAACAAACTCAGTCTTATAAATCATCAGTCTCCTCGGACTGATGAAGTCTTTTGGATGAAAGACGAAACGTTTCAACCCAAAGAAACCGTCCAGAGGACCTGACTCAACTTTGTTGGATTTTATGTACAGTTACGTAAAATACAATAACACACCACATAAACTAATAACCCCCATTTAAACAAGAAAACATTTGTCTTTACAAATGAAGGTCAAACACTTGAAGACACCTATAAGGAAATTGATAATCCTGTAACTCAATAAACACAGGAATGCAGTAGTCCCTCATTTATTGCAGGGGATCCGTACCTTGTAGTAGTTTATTTTAATATACAGTATATATATATATATACAGTATATATATATATATATATACACAGTATATACAGTATATATATATATATATATATATATACATATATATATATACAGTATATATATATATATATATATATATA